GTCCGGCTGCCCCCGGCGCCGGCCCGCAGCACCAGCAGCCGCGAGGCCGTGCAGCGAGGGCTCAGCTCCTGGCAGCAGCAAGGCGGCAGCCGGCCGCCCTCTCGCCAGCAAGACGGCTTCCCGGAGAGCCACAGCCCCAGCGCGTCCAGTGCCAGCCCGCAGCCCAGCCCCTCGCGGGCCGCGCCGTCCCCGGGCCACGGCCTCCCCGAGTTCCCGCGCGCGGCCTCGCAGCGGGAGATCGAGCAGTCCATCGAGGCCCTCAACATGCTCATGCTGGACCTGGACCCGGCCAGCGCCGGCCTGCGCAAGTCCCACAGTGCCCCTGGCGCCCCTCGGGAGGAGCGGCCCAGCCCCGTGGCCTCCTCGCTGTCGGCTCAGCCCGTGGCCGCTCTCCGTGGCCCTCAGGTGACGCAGCCGCGGCCCAGCCACATCTACGTGCCAGGCCGTGGTGCCGGGGAGCCTGAGCCCGGCTGGCTGGATTACCGTGATGCCTACTTGCCGTACGTCTACCAGCCGGCACCGGACGAACGGAGCCACAGCCACGCGCCCGGAAGCCCCCCGGTCTCTTCTGGCTCTGAGGGGTCCCCGCCGCCTGTGGCCACCTCGGCCTCGCAAGCTGAGAGCTACAAGGAGCCGACGAGACCCGCGGAGGATGAGCCCTTGAACTTGGAAGGGCTGGTCGCGCACAGGGTGGCAGGTGAGAGGTGCCCGTGGGCAGACGGGGATAAGGGACATGCCCGGGGCCACTCGGGGAGGCTGTGTCAGGGCTGAGACTACAAACCTGGTTTCCGAGACGAGGCCCATTCTCCAGGGCTGCCAGCTTGAGATGCCTCGAGCAGCATGAGGGCAGACCTGTTCTTGACTCGGCTCGGGGCTGCAAGGCAGAAGTGGGGTCAGGAAGTATTTCTATACTATGCGGTGGCATAGAGCAGGGAGGGGGAAGATGCTGGTCCCTGGCGTGCTATATGGCAAGCTTCGGCCAGGGCCTCGGGTGCAAGGACGCGGCCTTTGCCACCCGCCTTGGAGAACAGGCCGGGGACAGGTCGCTCCGGCGCAGAGGTTTTGGGGCCAGTGTCTTGCAAAGGGCCCGTCTCTGTGGCGCCGGGGTCCGGGCACGGCTGCGTCACGGGAGAACACGGAGTCCCGGACGCCGGGTGAGCCGAACGTGCGGCCAGGAGGGCACAGATGGGCTGGGGGGGGGTGTTATTTACAACCCGGGTGGCTATAAATGGCCTGTTTGTGTCTCCCGGGGAAGGCGGGTGGAATTTCACGCCTCCTCCCGCTGGGAACGTGACACCTCTGATTTCCTCTGCTCCGGCTGCAAGGGGGGGCGGGGGCCGGTGCCTGGCTCTCGGCTCCGCTGTGCCCTTGCACCTGTGCCGGCAGCTTGGGGACGCCCCGGGGCTCGCTCTGTTCGGGGCAGGGGCAGCCTGGCGGGAAGCCCTTTGGGCCAGGACCGGTGCAGGGCAGCAGGGCCCTGGGCTGGCACAGGCTTACTTGGGCATCCTGCTCCCCCGGCTGGTGCAAGGAGGATGGGGGTGTCTTTATTCTCCTTCTGGCCAGCGAAGGAGAATAAATGTCCAGGGCGGGCATCTGGGCGTGGTGGGCATGGACACGCCAGCCTTTTACCCCGGGGGAAGCAGAGGCTGCTCCGTGGGGGGTGCCAGTGTGCCTGCTCTTACTCTGGGGCAAGAAGAGGCTGCCCCATTGAAATGCCCATGTGCCCCTTTTTACCCCGGGGCAAGAAGAGGCTGCTCCACTGGCGTGCCCACGTGCCTGATGTAAGCTGGGGGTGCCCATGTGCACACTTTTACGTGCCCACTCTTACCCTGGGGCAAGCAGAAGCCCCAGGCTGGGCGTGGGCACAGCACCAACGCCCCCTCCATTTTACCTCGGGGTAAATAGCTGGTGCGACCGATTGCCCGGACCCTCCCCGTGCCCGCAGCTGCCCCCACCGGTGCCGCAGGGTCCGGACTAACGGTGTCTCTTGTGTTTTCTCCCTCTCTCTCCGTTGCGTGTTGTGTCCGTGCGTCTGTCTGTCCCCCTCTCTCTCTGCCGGACGGACGGTGTCTCCTCCCTGGCTGACCTCTTCCTGCTCTTCCGCCCCCCGCCTCCCCCCGCGCCCCGTCCGCCCGGCCCCGGGCGTCCTGCCAGAGTACAACGCCAAGCTGCAGGGCCTGCGGCAGGGCGCGGCGGCCCCCCGGCCCGCTCTCCGCCGGCAGCGGTCTTTCTCCTTCTCCGGTTTGTGCCTCTCCACGCATGCCGCGCGCTTCCCCGCTGTTGCATGCATGCCGGGGAAGGGGGTCGTGGCCCCGTGGCGGTGGCTCTGGCATGGGAGACCCCCATGTGCTGGCCCTGGGGGAGCCCCTTGATGCCCGGTGGGATGTCTCCCCCCCAGCTTTCCTTGGCTTTTTCCTCCCACCCTCTTTGGTTTCCTTCTCTCCTTCCTTTGCTGCGCGTGTGCGAGGAGCCGCTTGCCACCACGGGTGTCGCGGCCACGCGGTTGCCGCCAGCTCTGCCCGCGCCAGGGCTTGAACCGAAGCGGGTCTGGGGACCCCAAAGGAGACAGTGGAGAAGGCTGTTTCCTCTGGCAGCTGCAGCCCAGCTGCAGGGTCCTGGCTGGAGGGTCTTTCCCCTGCGCCCAGGGTCAGGCCGATGCCACACTTGGGGCCAGGACCCCGGTTTCTGGGGTTGATGTTCCCTGGGGGGTTTGATCCGAGGTGTGCCGGCTGCTGAGGCCGGGAGCCAGGGCTGGGGAGCGGCATGGGTCAGGCAGGCCACAGGCCTGGCTGGAAGCGAAGGAGGTGAGCAGGGGGCCGATTACACCCTCGGGGTGGAGGATGGAGGGTCAGCCAGGAGGACCTTGGGGTGGGAATGCAGCAGTGCCCGTCCCAGCCCGGTCCGTATCCTGCCTCCGCTTGGAAACCTGCCCTGGGCCAGCTCTTCCCTGCCCCGGATCCTCCCTGCCCCTTGCCTGCTGTGGTCCTGAGCCCCACTGGCTGCACCAGGGCGGGACAGCTCTTCCTTTCCTCTCCCGTGCGCCATCGTCCCCATCCAAGGGGAAGGCGCTGCCTCTCTCCCCGGACCCCATCCAGCCCCAGGTCACACGGGGGTCCCCTTAGCATCCGTGGTTGACCGTCTCTTCTTCCGAGAGGATTTACCGCGCGCCTGGCAGGACATCGGCAGGGCTTTCCCCGGGGGCAGGCAGGGGGGGTGTTGGATGTGTCCGGCGCCGGGCTTGGTTGCGGTGCATTAGGCGCATTCATGGAGCGGTTAGAAGCCCTTGTCTGGGCCGGGGGCCATGGGCCAGCTTCCCAAGGGCCTGATTTTA